TGGGTCTTGTGACTGGCACCCCATTCAGGGTGTATCCTGCCCTGTTCCCGCTGCTTGCTGGGATAGGCTCTGGCTCCCCTCTGGGGTAAGTCTCTGTGATTCTTTATTGGATAAAGCAAAGAATGGATGATGTAAACAAAACTTGAAATGCCAGTGATCTTCACTAGCTGTCTTATTTTAATGCTAACATTTAAAAAAATAATTTAAACCAATTTCTGGCTAAACCTTGCCGTAGTGCCACACTGCAGGCTGATAACATATGTTCAGGGTTGCCTGTTCTTCCACACAGTGTGCAGCAGGATCTTTCAGTTAGCTCCCATCTATGGAGGTTACTTGGAGTGGGCAAGATATCATAGACTGAGCGTGATAGAAACTGAATCCGCAAAGACTCAAGTTTCCAAATGTCAGTACATGTTAACTGTCACGGAATCCGGGGGCTAGCCGTGGAGAGAGACCGGCGAAGCGGAAGGACCCTATGCGTAGCAGTAGGAACGGAGCAAACACGGAGGTTCGGTCTGGGCTCAAGGTATCAGGTGGAGTCAGAACGAGACATAAACCCTCAGGGAGCAGACGTGGGGTGACCTGGTGAGGCGAGTCTCTTGACAACTGATCCCAATGCCAAGTGAGGAGAAAGGAGAGACCTGGAAATATAAAGCCCCAGACAACAAGACACACCAGAAGAACAAGTAAAGCACAGGAAACTAGGAACAGGACAGAGCAGGAGCGCCCTCTGAATGTGGTGGTTGTGACAATAACTTTCTATCTGTTGTTTCCAATCTAGTACAAGCTCCCTGTTTTCCTAACTGTATCACTTTCAAACTGTGAACCTCTTCTTATTTCTTTCTTATCTCTTATTGAATTAAGCTGCTCTCCTCTACTTTTTTTTTTTACTTACTTGCAAAGCCCAGACCTTGATGACCAACAGTTGGCCGTCCAATAATTTTTTGGTACTTCAGTTGGCTTTCTGCAGATTCCACTGCACTTGTTGCATTCCATTTCCTGCCTGACCTAGTCTATATTCTTACTTTTTTAATCCTTTCATCTTTCGAGTCACATAAAGGTACCACAAGTCTGACTTTTGTGACCTTGAACTCCTCCACCAAGCATGAAACAGGAAGCTGTGACCACAGAAGCCATTGCAATAATCCATGTTGATAAAGCCAAACTTTAAACTTGCCTGGTAGACCAGTTCTGTCAATCAATCTCAATCCCTCTAGTGTTTATTTCTCCACTTCTCTTGTATTAATTATATCTTTTAGGGTTGCATGGAACAATTTCCCTAGGCAAGTTGTCTGTTCATCAGCATCGAAGGAAATGAAAAGTCCAGATCCACATGAACAAGATAGCTGTTTTACACGCTAAGAATCAGCATTAGGTAGGAGTAAAAACTAAAACATTGACATGTCTACTACTTTAATGTCCTTGACTTTATCCATATTATTACGCTAAGTGTTTTCTTCTGGATTTATAATTATTTTTTGCAATTTTATGTGTGCTTTTTTGTATCCTGACTGGATGTGATTATTAGTCACTTTAGAAAAAGCAGCTGCCAATTTGAGAATTTGCCAGAAAATGAGAATGTTTCTCACATATTCTGCAGTCCCTCTCTGGAGGCCCATTTTGAAAACTCTTTTCATAAAGACTTGTTTAATATTGAAAATTAATTCTCAAGCTCATATCATAGGGGACCTCTGGGAAACACAAACAATTTCTTCCGGCAAAGACGTTTAAAAGACTATTCAGAAAAAAAGCAAATGCAAAAAACTTTCTTAAATGTTAAAAATAAGTTAAACCACAAATTCAAGCATCTGCTTGTGTTTTTTCTCCTTTAAAGTATTTCTACAGTGGTTATTAATAGGTCATCAAGTTATCAAGCACGTAACACTTGTAGCAGAAATAGATCATTCAAAACAGATATTAAAAATGAAACAACAGTGAGAAAACAGAATCAAAATGTGGTTTAATAACCAAGTTTCCTAAAAACAAAATCACATAACTTTTTGTGTTATTGCAGTGAAGCTTGGCAGTACCTCTTCTGTTGACTTCTTTTGACAGCGATTAGACTTCTCAATAAAAAATTAATGGGAGATGTTTTTAATGTTTTTAATGGGAGATGTAGTTTCATGCTGTTTGGCATCTTCACAGAAGTTATATCTGAAAGTGTATAAATCACCTATACCCAAAAGTGCTCTATTACAGGACATACCCACAATCACTCTCTGAATGCTTACTGTATGTGACAGAAAGAACTGACAAAAATTACTGAATATAATTATAGATGGATTTACTTGGGTGGTAGATTTTCAGAAGAAAAAATAACTCAGACTTTAACTCAATCAGCACCAACATGCAATTCTAATTCTCTGTCCCACATAAAAGTGACTGGGAGGAATTCTGGGTTATAGCATTAAAATAACATTCATTTGCTTTTCAAACAGTAGCCACTGACCACTTAAATAGTATATGGACACATTTACATGGTAGACCCTACAGGGACATTTTATAAGTGTGAGTGACACTTTGTCCAAGATTATAGAACCTCAATAAAAGATGTGTAGAGTAGCCCAGTGGTTGGAGAGTCACCGTGAAATATGGGTCCACAATATGGCTATGTCTTTCATGAAGTGCACCTTCACCCCTTCTCCTGTACACATTCTCATAGGCCTTGGATATCATATTGGGAATCCAGTTGGTTAGGTGCTGCTTTGACAGGACATGATCCAACACCCTAGAATCATAATAGATGGTCAGTGTAGTGTATCACCTGAGTCCTTTATACATAAAACCTGTTGAAAGTCAATGTCAATTACAGCCTGAAGTTATAACACAGGCCAAAAGAGAGTGGAGAGCTCCTCACAAAGCCCCAGCTTTTATTTCTCTCCAGGGATTCCACATCTGAATTAATGTAAAAGGGCAGTTCAGAGAGAATACTGCAGTGTATTTGTAGATACAAATACAGAAAATGTAGCTGACTGCAGTGTTAGTGTACTGTCTGACTACAGTTATTATTTTCTACTTTCTGTTTTATTCATGTTAGTTTCCACTTACACTAATTTTTTAGGAAATATTATAGCTGCTTATTGAATCCTTGCTCTGGAATACCAATCATGGAAACTATTACTGCTTTGAAGCCATTCAGAAAAACAAGGGATTAACTACATAAATTATACAGTATCATAACTTTAAATCAGGATTCAGCCTAACTGGCTTAGAAAGCTAAAGAGATTTAGCTTACATTACAGCTGGGTGAATTACATGATTGGAGCAATTTATGGTTTAATTAGTAAAAACGAATCCAATTCACATATTCACGACTCATTGGACAGTTAAAGCTTTCTATAGAAATGGGACTTTCCAAGACATGGATTGCAGGCCACTAATTAACCACTTCTACATGCCATTGATAGGTCATGTCTCCTTAGTTGGGACTGTACTGTATGTCTCTACTGCTTTTCTGATTTGACAACACTAGCATCTGTTTGTCCATTAATTTTCCAACCATTTCATCCAATACAGGATCACAAAGAACATACACACTCCACACAGATAGCACCCAAGCTCCAGAATTAAACCCACATCCTCAGCACTGCAAAGCAGCAGTGCTAACTACTGTGCCACCATACCAGCATGTATCAGTGATTAGCATTATTATTGACCAACGGGTCATAACAATAATTCCATAACAGACATGTAAATATATGCCAACACTACCAACAATATGTAATAAACATAAATGTATGATTAACTGTCAGATTGTACGTCCAGTCCTTCATTTTAGGGACAACAGTCAAGGACTAGGTTGCAATCATGCATACCAGATAAAAGAGTAAGCAAATTAGCATGAAGTAGCAGCATATGAAATATACTACATATACTAAATATGTACATAATCATAATTGTCTCCAATTAAAACTGGAAGCAACATACCAGCACTAGGATCAAAAATAGGATTGAGTATTAGATGTTTTATAAGGTGAAACTACTCTAATCGTGTTTAATATAAATGTACTATGTCACTAACTCTTTTTAAGAACCAACAAAGGTTGTAAGAAAATTAAAAAATATTTGGTGGGCAATACATATCAATGGCTGTATCTATGTCAACTAATGCTGCTTAATTTTCTAATAATAGACTTTAGTTTAAATACTGTATACTGCCTTAAAATGAACCCTGTTATCCTGTTTCCTGAATCTAGCATTGATTTGTTAGAACAGGCCATGTTCTCATGCAGAACAGAGTATTCTGTGCTATTAAAACAATAGCCAATGACTCGACAGCTATAAGGCATAAAGTTACATAATGAATATCAGTTTAATAAAATATTAGCTATACAATTCCATGGGGGACATTTGTTTTTTTTTTTCAATATATGCACAATCATACTGAGAAAAATGGAAAATTGCATGTAGCACCACTGTGTGGGGAGAAATGTCATGCCTGTTATCTTCCAGGAACTTGTGTGGTAAAAACAAAAGACTGGTGCCAAGTATTCAGTATATTAATCTAGGATTTGGCTGCTTTCTTAAACTTTGTGTGAACTTCACCATTTGAAATTGTAATGCACCACTCTTTAATGGAAACCTGTATCTCTGTGTTTGTATTTACAGTACATCTTTGTTGACCTTGAAAATAATACATACTGTACATTTGATTTAAAAATAACACATTTGAATTTCTAAAAAAAATATATATTTTTTTTTTTAGAAAAGAAAGTTTGAAGAATGGTTATTTCACGTCACCCATTGAAAAAAAGTGAAACTTATAAGATTCCTTATAGGATTTTTAACTCTTCATAGTATTGTGCAGGGGAAAAAATGGATGCACATGACTCATGTAAACATTTAAAAAACATGGGTCTTATCCTATAAACATTGCTTCAAATTAATTACTTTGACTTTTGTAGAAAGCAGATTCTCAGATTTCAGAAAAAAGTGGGCTGGAATTAAAATGATGCCAAACATCTTTTTTTCTCTTCCTATTTAAGGCTGTAGACATGAAAAGAGGGCTTGGTGTGTATTATTCTAGGCCTGGTGTTTTGAGCTAGATGGTGCTACATTAAACTGCATTTCTCCAATAGCATACAGAATCTCATGTCTAATTAACGGACATGATGAGCTGTGTGCAGATTTTGGTGTTTTCCATCTTTGCAGTTCTGCAGGTTTCTTTGGTGTGGGCACAACAAAATGGTAAGTCAGATAACTTTCACCAAAAAGAAAATTACTGAGGCTCAGAATTTAATTAGTTGATATTTTTTGTGTATATAATATAAGAAAAATTGAGTAAAAAAGCATCAGAGACACAAGATTCTGTGCTACAGAAAATGACTGAGAATAATGTATTACTATGTAATAACGTTTAGTGCATCTTAAGGGGCATCTATGAACTTAAGGGTTTATTATCATTTGAAAGAAAATTGTGCAATTAAATGCATATTTTACTATCAAGCACCTATAATTTTGTTTTTGTGACTGCATTGTGTAGGTAGTCATGTCACACACTTTGCAGATCATACACCTTTGTATTCTTCAAGTAATAACTACAAATTTAGATGTAGTGCAATGACATGTGTACAGAACATACAGTATATGAAAGACTAAAACATATCTATACTGTAACTTTCTTAGCTGTGAGGAATTAATTTATTAAATGTTCTATATTATTGTTATATATACTGTATGGAGTCCTGTTGGTTGCATCTTACCCAAGCTTCCCAGTACTTCCTATTTGAATCCTTAGTTTATAGCAACAGGATTTAGTGTATTAATCATTATTTGAACTTGAAATACTTCTTTGGTTGTTTGTAACATACTGTATGAGCATGCCTGTGACTTACATACATTTGGCTGTTTTAGCTGCAAAGAGAGCTTGTTCAACTTGGAGCAAAAACAGCATCCAATATTTGAAATATAAGTAATCTTAAACACAGACTATAACAGGTACAAATGTAATGTAAGTGTAATACAACTGGAAGACACTTGTAGTAGCTGTTACATGATTTTATCAACTGATTTTTGTATCATTCTGCAGTAGGTAATTGTTCTATCATTTTTAATTTTTCTAATTCTTATACATGGAAAGTGAAGAAGCTTTAATCATCTCAAGAAACTAGTATTTCAATAGCTTCTAGAAATCAAATTAATGTATTCAGTTTGCAACAGTTTTCTGGGAACTTAAAGAAACATAACCCATTACAGTTACAAGTTATTTGTGGAAGGAATTATTTTTCTGTTAATGAGTAGTAGTGAAACATTATTTTTAAGAGGTAGTAGTTTAAATAGTAGTTATGCACACACTTTATAACTGTAAAAAGAAAATTACAGTTAGAAGATACAATCTTTAAAAATATTTTTAAAAGCAGTCCCTCACACAAGTATCTTGTAATTGTAACTGACTACGTTTATAAAGGACCTATCTCCAACATAAAACAACACACCAGAACAGGCAGATGTGTGAGGAACTGTTTCACAAATTGAGCTATAGAGGAACTTTAGGAGCTTTAGAAAGCAGAAAGTAACAGTAACAGTAACAGTAACAAAAATGGTACACCAGGACAACATCACAGGACAACTCTTGCCACAGACTCTTTAAGAAACCAAAATCAAACTAAGCTAATTGTTGCAGAAATACAGTAACAGTAAATACAGGATTTAATGTATCATTTTGTCTACAGATGTAATTGTAAAAGTGACACAGAAAATAATACATTTTATGTAAAAAAGGTAAATGTTGCTCTTTATACATAGATCATAACATATATGGTCTGCACGTTTTTCTGTAAGTCACTTTTGTCTTGCATTGCAACATGTCTTGCATTACAACCTGTCTTTAAACTCAGTCCCCAGCCAGATACAGTTAGTTTTGAATAGATTCTTATATTGAATAACAGTTTGCAAGTAGGGCTTGGTAACATTGTTAGAATAAAAAGAAATGACCATGTCAAACTGGAAACTGGATTTTGCCATCAATAAAGTAAAGCAATAGTTTATTGAACAGACAACATTAATCCTTCATCTTCATGGCCATTACTCAGGCAGCCATTCACAGCAATGCCCCCAAAGCTGCTGCAATGTTGTGTTAGTGATCGATAATATACTAAGAATACGTTATTTTGGAAATCCATTTTTTTCATAACAGACTTTTTTATGTAAGGCACTGTGAGTTTTCTAATACATTTATCCCCAACTGATTTCTGTCAGCTAATACAGAAAATATCAAGGTTTTGTTAGTTTAGCTAGCAGTATGGACATGACAGAAAACAGCTGTTACCTTATAAAAAAGGCAAACAATCCCAGTGGGCTAAAGGGTAAATTCTTGCATGGAAACTACATAATATTTCTAAAAATTATTACAAGTAAAACAGTATTATATTTCAATTTGAGTCTTCTGGGATAGGGCAGATGTGTTTTCAAGTGTTATAGAAGTAATAAAAAGAGCCTGTATGTTTTTTGAATACATGTCTAAAAAACACAAGCATGTATTCCTGTTTTAGAGTGGCATGGAGACTTGGTGTTTCTTGTAAAAGGTGTAATTAATGTAAAATCAATTCACATAGTTCATTATGAAGATCCATTTTCATATTTTAGAAAGATTTCCTACTATCTGATTAAACAGTGGTACAGTAGTTCAACTTTTGCACAGTGAGAGTGGAACAATTAATATTAATAAGTTTGACAAGTAGTCAAAAATAAGTAGATGTGGGTAACCTTAAATTTGTTCCTTGTAACAAAACTGTGATTTAATTTATATGATACTGGGGATGATTATTTCTTAAAAATTAAAGTTCATATTAAGATTGTCATTAATTTATTTTCCAGATATACAGACTGCCAAAATCATTCACCTCTCTTGTTAAGAACATTCAACAGTTTTCCAGCTTGGTTACACTCTTCAGCCCTAACAGCTATACCAAAGAAAGCTCATTTCATAGAATTATCTCAACATTTTATTTTAAATAGCATTTAAGTCCACCCTTGTGGCTCAACCAGTATAGATGTTTGTTCAATGGCATTTTGAGCTCTATGATCCTGGATTAAAGCCTGGTATGTATTTCTAGCAGACTGTGAACATGATTCTCCAAGTTGGTACACAATGAACTGAGCATTTCTGAGGGTAGGGTGACATTAGTTGGCAAGTGCCTATGGGCTGTCAGTGACATAATGACCCCAGTGACCAGCCTTCCAGGTGCTTGCGGTCAGTGACGACTGAGTCATTGCTCAAAATGGTGCAGAGATGCCATACTGCAGGTTAAACTAGGTTTTTAGAATGAAGAATTCTGAACCTTGGGTGTTGTCTGTATGTCCTCCCAGTGGTTGAATGGGTTTCGTCCAGGTGCTCCTGTTTCCTCCCACAGTCCAAAGACATAGTGAGTGGTATGTTAATTAGCTTTTGAGAAAATTGTCCATGGTGTGAATGTGTACTGTACATGTCTGTGTTTGGCCTGTGATAGATTGGCATCACCTGTGACCATAAATTGAATGAAGAGGTTAGCCCTTTAGTGCTTTCCTGCTCTTTTCATACTATATGTACAGTATACTGTACGCGAGACAAACAATTTCATTAAATACAAAAAATTGATAATATTTTTGAGACAGGGTGTGGTTAATTTGTTATTTTATGGATGTGCCATCCTCTATACCTCATATTTTCCCTTTAATAGGCTTTAGTTTTAATTGTTGTTTTCTTTGTTTTAAAGCAATTTGAATTAGAATGTCTGTTTTTTAGTCACAATGCTGAAATGTGGTACTGTTTATTTGAAACATGTTTGCCCATGATTGATACAAATCAGTACTAATGGGTATTTGTCACAGTTTATTGTTTTTCAAAAGAAAGTGTGAGTGTAAACACATGGAATGTAATAAATATTTGTAACTATAATAAAAACATGAAAGCTAAGTTCTTATACTTGCTAGAATGACCATCTTCCAGTAGTAATACAGCCCTAATGTGCAAGATTTTGTGCTTTCACAAATACTTTTACCTTTTTTAAGTAATTTTAAGTAATAAGCCAGTTTAGCTTATTGTTAAACATTTCTTAGAATTGTAAAGGAATTCTAAGTATTTTGTAAGCATTTTGAATAAAATTATTAAAATTGACTGTGTTTAGAAAACATCACTTTATCTACTGAGTGCCATGAGTAGATAGGATACAGCATTACAAACCATATTCAGTCCGTTTACTGGAGGTCAGATTTAAGTACAGTTGACTAATCAAATCTAACCTATGTGTCTTTGAGACGTGGGAAGAAACTGGATTCCCCAAAGAAAATTGACTGGAATAAGGGACAAATATGCAAACCCAAATCAGATATCATCACATTACAGAACAGAACCCAGGATCTAACAGCTGTGAAACATTAGTGCTAACTGCCATGATATTGTTTGAAGAAAACTTCACTGCTGAAACTAAATAATTTCCCATACAAAGACGTCAGATACACTGTTATGAACTGTATTTATTTTATTATTTTTATGCTTGTCATTCCCAAGTACAAAGAGGTTTCCAATGAGTGAAAATGTCATGTGTTATGGTCATACCGTAATCTGATGTAGAATGAATATAAACATAAAAATTCAGTGTGGAACAAGTAAATACAACATAGTAATGATGACAATGACTGTAGAAAAACATATACAGTACTGCATTTGCACAAACATGCAGAAGAAAATAAAACTAGCTGGTGAAATCTAACTAGGACTGACTAAGTAGTGACAGTGTGGATTTTCTGCATGGAAAGATGTGAGCCTAGAAATAGAAGACACAACGTCATAACACTGCAATTTGAGCATTCATCGCTCCTAATCCTCTGGTTCCTGTCCATTAACTAATTCTTAATCCAACTACATGCATTGCCTTGACTGCCCAGCCACCTACAAGTACAAAATTAATCCTTCATGAAGACCATAATCAAAAATGTTCTGAACATCTAAAAGTACAATGCCATATATTCTGTTTGTATCCATTACTGGTGTTGCAGTTTAAACAACATTTATAACTTTAAAAGGATCTCCTTTTCTAAATCCAGATTGACTATCTCTTTGAGTTGTATTGCCATACAGATGGTTCCTACAGTATTAATTGTTTCTATAACCATGCATGCAATAGACTTTTCATTCAATAGGTAATACCCCTGTCTCGAGAGGTTTGGAAGTTTTTTAATGGTCTACTTATAAGATCTCTTGTTTCTTG